TTGATGTTTTGCCGCAGTTTGTGCTTTTGTTTGATTTCCTTTGTAGGAAGGATCTGGAGCAATCAGTACAATAAGATAATAGTTCTGTTTGCTATATATTTATCGTGTTACCTTGCTGTATTTAGTTAATGTTTTGCCAAAGTTGAATTTGTGTAGAAATAAAGCATTAAGTTGTTTTGATGTGTGTTAAACAAAATAAATAATGGTCATACAAGAAGACAATCACTTGTTTCTTTTTTTCATTAGGTGCAATAGTGTGACAAACTGGTGACATATAGATGACAAATGAATCAAAATAAAAAACAATTTAAAAAATACTAAGACATCAACGGGCACACATCTGACAACAACCAGCAGAGACATTACAAAACTATACGAAATACCTAAAAAAAAAAAAAAAGGATACAAGAAGTGAAAGAAACAATAGAGAGAAAGGGAGACGGGGAAGGAGAGATGGTGCTTTGTAAGGGGGGCTTGAGAGGGAGAACAGAGTTGAGTAGAGTGTATGGTATGTGTTGAATATGTTGATGTTTGATCAATGTTGTGGTGTGAGAGGTGAGAGTTTGTGTAATGATTGTGTTTTAGGGGTAATTGACGGCAGCCAGAGTTTTGGGTTTGATTTGATTTGAGGGGAGGTTGGAGGGAGAGACAAAGTTATTATTTTTCTTTTCTTTGGTCGGGTCCTGCAGCAGCAGCACCCAGACCCTCAGGAGGGGACTTGTCACTGGCAGGACCCGACCTGTTCAAGAGGGTAGGGGAGGGAAGAGCCACCAATCACTTGTTTCAGCGTCTTTCTCTTCCATGACTGTCTCTAATGAGGGAGAAGCTCAAGTCATGCTGCCTCTTAAAGGCTGTTTTTTTTTTTTTTTTTTGCCACTGTAACTTTCCCAAATGTAGCTTAGTGTTCATCATGGATTAATGTTGGGTCTTAGATGATAATAATATCATAATGTTTAATATGATATAACAAAGACTACGGTCTAGATCTGCTCTTTTTGTCAAGTGTCACGAGATAACATGTTTTGAATTGGTGATTAAAACAGAAAAAAACATTTTGACTGAAAATTCTCAACGTACAAAACAAGTTAAAAAAAACCCAATTTGAATAGGAGTTTTCTATCTCAGGAATAAAACTGACACATTTTTTTTATGAAGCTCAAGATCTATTCTGACAGATATGAGCTTGCTTCTTTGAGAGGGGTCTTGGGGGAAATCTAGCTATTCTAACATTCAAATAAGGCTTTTTGGAGCAATTTGAGATTAGATAATGATAAATGAGGACCTTGTTTTGATACTAAATAAGAAGCCTACTCTGTTGTTAACTTTTAGCAGCCTAAAGTATAAATAACACAGAATTACCCTCAAACAAGTTACAGAAGTTAGAGTACAAACATATCAGACTTTAGTCTGGAGTAACAAATGAAAAACAGTTACTTTGCAAAAATGTACCTTTTACAGAATATTATTATTATTATTTTTAATGAATTAATGTGTTCCTCATTTTGTTGTCATTGCTAGAGTTGGAGTTAATCCTACTTGAGTTATTTAGACACATATAAGTGGATACCTGGTGAATTCCCAGGGCATATAATAAAGATATTTTGACAAATAGTGTATTCATCCTATTTTGCATTATAAATCTGAATCTGAGAAGTAACTAGCAAACAAATTTAAGAATTTCTATAAATTCAGTGGATTAAGAAGTATATTTTTAAGGACAAGAAGGCTTTTTTATTTTTTTTACATTTGGACAGAACTTATGCAAGTATGTATTTTATAACTTTCACCCACTCAGTCGTTAAAAGTAAACTAGTGCCAGATTGTTAAGCTAATATAACATGTAAGAATTGTGTCATCAAACGGTCCAGTTTACAGGTGATTCATGTCGCGCGGTGCTCTGTGTTGGTAATGTGCTGTATCACCTGTTGTTTACGCGCGTTCCTAAAGGAGGTTGTCCGGTAGCGGAGCACTCGGCGGCTGTCTGCTCTGCCAGCACGTAATAAAACTTTAACGGTATACTCCGTCATGTTACGGATTGTTATTTCCCTGGTATTTTTTTCTTTGGTCGGGTAAATAAATTGCACACCGGAGCCTAAAAAAAAGTGACGGGCAGTGCACGCTGATGCTCGCTACCAGAATAAAAGCCTCCTACACAGAGCGGACTTCACGTAGCAGATAAAAGTTCTGACTACATTGAAATGCCACACAGACACAAAACTACACTTGTGTTACAGGGTTCAGATAAATGCCTGACATTTAAAACAGCAGTTTGCATGTTTGTCACTAACCCACATTCTGCTCGACTTTTTTTGTTTGACTGACACTGACTGAAAATATTACAATTTTGAAATTGACGGAAATCCGTCGTAGCGACGGAGAACTTTAATCCCTGTATACAAATAAAATTAGATCAATTGATTTGTTGTTTTTTATTACGTTTTTGATCTGTGTTAAAGGAGCAATGTGTAACTCAGACACCTAGTATTTAAAATGGGTACTGCAGTCAAAATTCAAAACATTGGAGACCCCCCGGCCCCTCCTCTCTAGAGTCGATGTTCACACAGGTTGCCATGTCATGGACTTGTAAGCTTCAGTGTTTAGCCAGCTCTGCATTTGGTCTGTAAACCTTTCTGCCTTCTAACCTCTCTCCATTTTTCAAAAACATCTCCAACATTGATCCTAGTTTGAGCACGTTTCTGCTCGTGGAGCTTATTAGAAACATGCAGAGGCTTTTTAGGTCGGGTACAATCACTTCTATCTGAACCAGTTCTCTTGTTCACTTCCATCGCTGCAACACCTGTTGGTTTGACTTTTTCCGACGACTCCTCCATTGTTGGGTGCATCACTCATGACGACGAGAAGGAGTACAGAGGACTGTTAGAGAGCTGTCTGCTCCCTATTCCTGTTCCCGCAGAGCGCTGTCTGCCACCAGTTCCGGCAGGGCGCCGTCTGCTCCCTATTCCTGTTCCAGCAGAGTGCTGTCTGCCCCCCGTTCCTGTTCCAGCAGAGCGCTGTCTGCCCCCCGTTCTGGCCCAGCGCCGTCTGCCCCCTGTTGCGGCAGAGCACCGTCTGACTCCTGTGTCTGTGTGGGAGGTTCTGCCCACTCCCCTGTCTCTGTGGGAGGCCCTGCCCACTCCTGTTTCCTGGTTGGAGGTCCTGCCGGCCCCGCCCACTCCTGTGTCTCTGTGGGAGGCCCTGCCAACTCCTGCTTCCTTGTTGGAGGCCCTGCCAACTCCTGCTTCCTCGTTGGAGGTCCTGCCCACTTCTGTGTCTTCGTCAGAGGCCCTGGCCACTTCTGCATCCTCGTCAGAGGCCCTGGCCACTCCTGCAACCTCGTCAGAGGCCCTGCCGACTCCTGCGCCCTCGTCTGAGGCCCTGGGCGACTCCTGCGCTCTCATCTGAGGCCCTGGTGACTCCTGCGCCCTCGTCGCCGTCGTCTGAGGTCCAGCTGACTCCTGCGCCCACGTCAGAGGTTCTGCTGACTCCTGCGCCCTCGTCAGAGATCCTACTAACTCTGCCCACACCTGTGTCCTCATCCGAGGTCCCTGTGGCCTGTCGGAGTCCAGAATGAAACCTCCGGCCTCCCCCCTGAACTAGTCTGCCCGTTCGGTCGGCCTCCCGGCCGTCCACCAGAGCTGTTCTGAGTTTGGTCGGCCTCCTGGCCGTCCACCTGAACTTTCCGGGCTATGTGCCCTGCCTCCCGCCTGACGGTCCGGAGGCAGATGGTCCGGTTTTCCCTTGTGTGTTTCCTAGTTTAGTCTTCAGTGTTTCCTGTGTTATTTTGTAATTTCAAATCCTTGTGACCCTCTCTGTTCTAGTGTGTCTTGATGTTTAACAGTGTCTTCAGCGTTTCATGTATTTGTCACAGTTGTCCTCAGTGTTTCTTGTCCTGCCTCTGTGTTTCCCTCCAGTGTTGATTGCCCTCATTGTCTTCACCTGTGTCGTTAGTCTCACCTGTGTCTGATTACCCCATGTCTATTTAGTCTCTGTGTTTCTTGCCCTCTGTCAGCTCATTGTTGCCCTCTGTCGTTTGTCGGTGTTGTTTGGAGTTATGTCAGATGTTAGTTTTCCTTGTGCTCCCAGTGATTCCTCGTGGCTACCTTTTATTGCATTTCGTCTTTTCAAGAAAGTAAATTTTTGTTTAAATAAATATTTTTATTTATTCATTCTGCACTTGGGTCCATTTCCTGATTTTCCACACCCGTGACAGAACTAGTTCTCTTGCCCGCTTCCATCGCTGCAACACCTGTTGGTTTGACTTGATAACTGGTCTCATATATGGCACACAGATCATTCAGGACCAGAATCTAAACTCAGAAGGAGGACATACTGGCTGCTGCATTGTTGTCAGAGAAGCCAGCACTTCAACATAGCATGTTTCTTTAACCCTCCTACAACCCTAGGATTTGTGTCACACCTTTCAACCTAACATCCCAGAGAAATGCTTGAATAAAGACTGCCATAGCAATATTATCTAGTGATGCATAATTCCAATTTTTATGGATACTATTATTAACTGCAGTCCTCATCATGCATAGCAAATATTCATTGTGTTTCTGAAAGTTAACCCCATAAATGCAAGTTTTTGATTTTAAAGTAAGACTTAAATGAGTCAGAAAACAGTGCGTAAGAATCACAGAGTGCAGAGGATCAAAAGGTCCGCTCCAGCAGAGGTTGAAGCAACACCAGCTGGTGATGAGAGGGGGGAAGATCTGGTCTGTCCAATGGGGAACAACCTGGGAGTGGAAGGCAACACGCCCAGTGCATTCTGGATGTTGAAGTATTTAAACTCTTTGGGCAGAAGGGAATTACATAACCCTTTTCTGGAATTTCTCCAGAAAAAGGCTATGCAAAACGGAAATCAACAACTTATAGTGTGAGCTGATAAAGAATGTAGCTGTTCAGAACAAAGTGCTTTTTGAACCAGACTGTAAACATGTTAACATGTTTGGCCAAAGAACTGCAGAGTTTTGCACTTCCACATTGGCTTCTTTCTTCAACACCGGAGGCTGCTTCTCAGCTTAGCTGCTTTGATAAAATGGGTAATTTGGTAATATGATTTGCATATGGAAAAAGCCTTTTGCCATTCTCCCGCTAACACACCCACACTCTAATCTATTTAGAGGATTTACAGCCAAGAGTTTAGACGTGATAATCAACAGCCTGGTTTTAAAGCTGTAAGTATCTTGACTTTATGACGGCCAGGGAAGACATGAGATGCAGTTTAATGATTCATGATTCATGATTTTTTATTTTTTGTCAAGACCAGGGAAAGAGGGCAAGCTTTAAATGCAAACTTTTAAAAATCCAGTCAAATGTTTTTTGTCCTAGATTGACTTAAGTGTTGACATCGAAATGTATTTTCTATTATAAAAAAAATACTCCCAGTTTGGATTCATTCATGGAATCATTTTACATTTCTAAAAACAAAAAAGACCATTTATATATGTTTTTCAGTATTTTATGTCTTACATTTACAAACTTCTATACAAGGGTGACACATGTTTTATTTATCTGTCTGAAGAATGCCGTGTATCAATCACTGCTGCTTTAACAGAAATCAGTACAATCTTAACAATCGATACTAAACTGTAAAAGTAACTGACAAATGGTCTGCATGTTGAGTGCAAATTACAAATGTTAGAGCTGCATTTTGGACAATAATTAGACATGGGGCAGTTCCTTGAATTAAGAGGTACATTGAGAGTTGCAGTTGACCAGAGGAAATGAAAGAAAGTCATGAATCACCTCCTAATCAGCAAGGCACAGAAGTATTTTGCAATTTTCAGAAAGATTCTTGTGCTGAAGAAAACAGGACCTCACAACTTTCTGCCCGTCAAAGGGAAAGGTCACTGTCGAATCCTAAATTTCTGTCTGTTGGCAAGACATTTGCTGATCTATTCTTGTTTTTTTTACTGCCCAAAGATGACAAAAACAGTCTTGCTTCCCTTTATCAGAAGTGTGTTTTGGTTGTATCTACCAATTTTATAAACTTGAGGCAGTCTCTGAGAGAATCAAGGCGTTCAGGAGTATTGTGTGTTAGTGGAGGTTATAACTGTGTTTTCCGCATAGCGAAGAAAAGAGACACACCCTGGACGGATTAAACTACCAAGTGGAAGCATTGGACGAGGGGTTCAAGAACTGCGTCTAGGGGTAACCCACAGGTAATGACAATGATTTTACCAATGGTGACTGATGTAGTTTAATTAGATAAATACATTTTTTTTACTTGCAAAAGAACAAGCCCATGATAACTCTGAACCATTGATAGTTCCCAGAGAACAAAAGCAAACCATCTTAAGTCTTTAGACACTGCTTGTTTTTAGTTTGATATGGTTTCTGTTGCCATTTCTATTCAGCACACGCAGCTTCAATTGTTCATGATTCATGATGTACCCACAGCTTGGGAAAAAACTAACTAAAAGTCAAAGGTACAGCTTTTCGGCAGCAATACTTAAATAACAATTTTCGCAGCATCTACCGCTTTCTGCTGCCAGTGATCATCAGCTGTTATTGAAATTGGGTATATGTTGCACTGGGCTCATTAGCATGGAAAAATGCTAATATTAAATGTAAATTGTTCTCGATTTAAATTCATGCAAACTGCACAAGATCCCTTAGACATAATTTGCTATGCAGAGCAGTTTAGGGCAACAATAAACCATTTACATGAGCAGGGCTTTTGTTATTTGTTTAGGTGTTATTTACTCACGTTGAGCAGCCATAAATGCTTTGTCATACCTGGCAACTTAAAATAACTAAAACCATTTTTTGATATACTGTACACATTGACCATACCAGTTATCTCCTTTTTCAGAAGTAAAGATGGATCGTTTCATGTCATTGATCTTCCTCTTCTTCGGTAAGTTCAGGGGCTTTATTTACCTAATCTAATTGTTCAGAGTAACTGATTGGTTTATTGATTTTAGATTGTCCACATATCAGCACCATGATGTCCTGTTACTTCTCAGCCAACAAGTACATCAGACTTTTGTTCAATATTACGATCAAATTTATCAATCAATTTTAATATAGCTCCAATCCATAACAAATGTTATCTCAAGACACTCAAGACATAAAAGAGCAGGTAAAAGATGCTACTCTACTCTTATATTATCTAAAAAGACCAACAACAGCCTGCTTTCGTTGGATGCTTTTAAGAGGATGTCACGTATATTGGGAAACAAGTAACTGGAACCCAATTGCAGAAAAGAAAAATACTTTTTAAAGAGGTTAATCTTTAAAATCATTAATAAAGGTTGAATAAATTAATAATTTAAAGTAGACTCCAAGTAAATTTGAGATTCTTTACATCAGGGGCGTGTCCAGACTTTTTGGACTGGGCTGGGCCAATTGGTGCACTGACTTGGGCCTGAAGTTTGTGCACACAGCTGAATGAAGAGCATTCCTTTACCCCTCCTGTCTGCACTAAATGCATCAACTTTTAAGTAACACAAGATAATATCAACATATACATCTTCTTACCTTAATTCTTCAAGGACTCAAAACAATATGTATCTCCAAGTCACAATTTAAAGTATTGTAAATTGTTAACAAACATCTGCATACAGAAATGAGCTATGAATATGAGCCGCCTGTTGCAACACAGCCTGAAGAGAGGATCTCAACACCTCAGGAATGGCAAATAGACAATAATAGTAAAGGATTATTGTAGATACTGTAAAAACTCTCCACCTCATGTAAGTTAACCCATCTGTTACATAATGACATATTTTATCATCATGTTTATCCCTCAGCATCTTTGCACTATCCACCACTGTACTATTGTCTCATTTCACTAACAAAGACCACACCAAGAAAATATTGATTTAGAAGATTTTCTTACAATATGCATGATCGAAACGATGAGCGAGGTTGGATGATCAGAAGATTGAGGGTGGATGAATGAAGGGGATGAAGGTTAGGGTGGAGGGAAGAAGGGATGAAGGTAATGGTCGAAGGGATGGAGGTAGGTGGGGTAAGAGTTGAGGGACAAAGAGATGGAGGTCAGGGTGAAGATATGTGGGATGAGGGATTAGGGTAAAGGTAGAGGGATGAATGGATAAATGTAAGAGACGGGAAGTAAGTTGAAGGATAATGGACTTGTAGGTACGACGTGAGGAAGCCAGAGGGGTCGAGACTCTAGGTGGTGAAGCCTTCTCTTCATTGCTGTCTGTATGGACACTGTGGTTCCTTTATTTAGATGAAGAGAGAAGTGAAAAATCACAGAGGGGTTTGGGGGGAGGGATGTGAAATCAGCGACATAGGAATGGAAGTAATTAAGGCGTGCTCAAATACGTTTGAAACAGAAATGGGTTGTGTTGGAGGCGTGGTCTTTGTTGCTGAACCAAATTTAAAAAATCTATATTTAGTCTTGAACATATTACGGGCCATCCGTACCGTGCCAAAGCACACTTCAACCCTAAAGTCCAGTTCGTTTGGTCAATGTGACCGCTCCGTGTACATTTCCTTGGCTTTGGCACACTTCAGAGAGGTGCGCTTCGGCACGGTACACTTCATGCACGAGCACAAGCACGCGGGTACACAACGCTGATAGCCTTCATTATGGAGAAATCCGGAGTTTCATGGCTGTATCTGACTAAAATGACTTAACATAAGCTACAAAGTAGCTGTCATGTTCTCTGAGTTGTTCTCCGATGTGCGTGCTTCCTCTCTCTCTCTTTCCCTCTCGTCTGCTCTCTCATCTGCCTGTTTGTTAACTGAGCACACTTCATAATAACATGAAGCATGCATGCGTTGTATAACAACATTATGTACAAGAGGTAATCGTGCTTAAGCACGGATAGTCCTGTGTAGTGAAACCGCAGGCTGTGCCGGCCAGTGTGGAAAGGTACAGATGGACAGTATGACCGCGCCCTTAGTCTTTACTTATTTTGTGTTTATTGTTGATATTTAATGTGTCTTTTTGTAAAAAATGTTGTACAGAGCACAGTTCACACAAGTCAAATTGCTTGTGTGTGTGAGCATACGTGCGAATAAAGCTGATTGTGAATATAAGTTGTGACCTCTGAGCAATGCTTCCTGATCTCTACTCACTGTCTGGTCAGTGGGTCAAGGATCTATTGCAGGACACCTTGAGGAGAAACCCAGCATCTAAAATACAGAGTTTAACTTCTGAAACACTGCAGCGTGGTGTCTGTAACACCAAGATTGTCTGCAGACTTCTTTCTAAGCCAATTGTTCTACAAATTATTATAACCTTTATTTAAAACAGACAAAATATCTAATGATCATATATATGCTCTCTGTCATTATTTCCCAGGACTTTGCATTTCCTCAAGCAAAGTCCTTCATCAGTTCCATTACATCGATCTAAAGTTGAACTGGTTGGATGCTCAGCATTATTGCAGAGAGAAATACGACGACCTGGCTACCATCCAAAGCATGGAGGACATAATCCAGCTGAAAAACCAAGTTCGAGTTTCGGGAAACGCATGGATCGGACTTAGAGATGACCCAAATTCTTGGTTCAAAGTCATGGGCATTGACGCCAATTCCTGGAGATGGTCGGTAACCGGTGAAACGAGCCAAAATGGTTACCAAAACTGGCATTACAAAGAACCAAATAATATGTATTTCGAGTACTGCGTTGACATAAATGGTGCCGCAACATGGAATGATATGAACTGTGACGCGTTGCTGAGTTTCGTATGTTATACTGGTAAGAAAATGTGTTTTGTTTTTTAGTTACTCTGACCCTCTGACCTTACCAATCAATTAATCAGGTAGTCCATTTACAAGGATATTAAATAGTGATGCACTCTTAAAAAGCTTCATCCAAATAATATCTGTAGAAATACTCACTTGTTATATTTAACGTTAAAGATCCCATATCTAATTTCAATTTCACCCTTCATGTCGTCAGTCTGTGAAACCTATAGAGAAGCTTTGCATGATTTGCAGCTCAAAATAAAGGCTTTATTTATCTAATACTGGTGCCAGTAAAAACCCTCATTTTAGCCTTTGCCATAAACAGTTTGTTTCAGCCGATGTCTCTTTAAGACGCCCCTCCCATGCAACCTCCACACAGAAAAGACACAATGACCGTGCAGTACTGATTAAAGTTGATCCGCCTCAATTAATGCAACTTTCTGTCCAAATTAATGAATTATTGAACCTTATAATAGGCTAAGCCAGTGCAGGCATATCTTGGTTACCAGGGTGACAACTTTTGCTCTGTAAGCCCGTCACCTTGATGGCCCAATGGCCTTTTTGAAATTTCAGATATTTTGAACTGGGAGCACTTAAATGCTTTGTGTCCTTAATAGTATCAGAGTGGAGCTTTTCATTAAACATACCTGTCAAGAAGTGGATTGCATTCAATTAAATTATTTTTATTTAACACTTGCTTCACTTTATTGCAGAGACGGGAGGATTGAAAACCTACGTGCACATCTCAACCCCGCTATCATGGCCCGATGCTCGTGACTACTGCAGAGAAAACTACAAGGACCTGGCTCTGATTGAGAGCGAAGATGAAAACACAAATGCTTACCAAGCAAAAAAATCCTCATCTACTGCTTGGATTGGTCTGTACAGAGTGCCATGGACTTGGTCTGATAACAGCAGCAGCTCATTCACAAATTGGAGAAGTGGAGAACCAAATGGTAGAAGGTGAATACTGTGTGGCTGAGATTCCTGGACATCTGTGGGCAGATATTACCTGTGCTACTGAGCTCTCTTTCATCTGCCAAGAAGGTAATAGTTCAATATATCACAAATTAGGCAATATACCTCAACAGGGAGAGATGCAGAACTTGATATCAGCTTTGACTTAGTTGTATGCAAGACCACAGGTTGAGAGCCAAATATAATCAGAGCAAGCTTAAATTCAGGGCAACATTACAACTGGAGTAGGACATTGCTTTCAGAAGCATGAGTCTCGCTGGCTGTGTTGTCCGAGGTGTATAAACATGGACGGGACAGCCGGCTCCTCCCCTGGGGTATTAAAGCTGTTTTAGTCAAGGACTAAGGAGAAAAGAGAGGATAACAAAGCCTACTCACTGCTTATTTGTCACGTAAGAGTTTTTAGATCACAGTCATTCTGTGTAAATGTACAAGCAATGTGAAGCTACGAGCTAACAAAAATGTGCGAGCACAAGCCTGCTAACACAAACATGAAATTTTGTGTGTTGCATTTGATATCAGTGTTTCCAACACAATAGACGATACCTGGGCGGGCCGCCAAAGTATATTTCTGGCCACCCAAGTATATTGGCGACCTTTTTTTATTTCATTTTTCATTTATTCATAAAATTGCTGCATGAATGATAGCGCGAGAACGGGGGGAGAAATAGAGAGTGCAGGAGCTTGCAATTTGCCTCACGGCTCCGAGCAACAAAACTCCTGTTAAAAAGCAAAATCACAAGAGCAGAATCCCATCACCTTCAAAGAAAGAGAGAGAGAAGGCCCACTGTCCGTACACCCTTCTTGTAAATGCAGCGATTGCTTTGCTCTGATGAAACTGTTGCATCTTATGGCTTTCTTTTAAAAATGTTCATGTACTGCTACTTGCTGCTGATGCTTGTAAATTACGGAATATCGAGTGGAACTTTTCAAAACGCGAGGTGAACTCTGATATAAATACAAACCTAAAATTAAAATATACCCTAAGAGTAGAGTAAAAAAACTAAAATATGTTGATTATGTGAGGGATGGTAATTTCCTCCAGATACACTTTTTAAGATTTTGGTTGAAATTGTCTTTTGGTTCTGACAGAAATGAATAATTAAGCTGCCCTGAAAAAAACAAAGAAAATCTGTCATCTGTAGCAATTGTAAGTCTCTAAAAATTTCGACCATTGTCTGACAAGAGGTACCAATCTGATGAACCAATCAGACGCCTCCCTGTCTCCCTGCTCGTTCTCTACCCATTGCGTGCACTATCCCACACTCAAAAGGTGTCACCGATGACGGCGTTTATACTGTGAGTTAACTTACCGCAGAATGATACATGAGATGATTTAGTTTCTGCACAATGCAAACAATAAGCTGAGGTCCACTTCTGGAGCAAGGTCGGCGCTCATGTGTGTAAGTGAGGGGCGTGGCTTTTGAGGGAGCACAGAGGGGAGGGGGGTGTGTAGACGGGGCACTGAGGGAATGCTACTTTCAAAATCATGCTAGTTTTTCGAAAATTGCCAACCCATCCTTTAATAGATGTTGTATAGCTCATTTTAATGGTTTTTATCTAAATGTGCTTCTCTTTGATTTGTCATTATATGTTTGTTGATTGTCCAGATCCAGAAGTTAAGTCTGTGATAAGGATGGAATTAAGGACAGCCGCTGACTTGACGGATCCAGCTATCAACGCACAACTTCTGGCTCAGGTGAACCTCCCTTTTAGTTTCTCTACAGTGGGTTCATCACCAGGGTTATGAAACTTCCAAATTGTCACGCTTCAATTCAATTCCTGGGTTTACGATTCAGTTCAAAATTGACTTTCACTTCAAACTGATTCCAGATTCACAATACAGTCCCTATTTGTTACAAAGGGGTTCTTATTTTAGGGTCGACTTCAGTCTGCTGTGCACTTTATTATTTGAGAGTCACATTATTATTTCAACATAAGAAGCTCAATAAAATGTGCTCAAGATATTTCAGCTATTATATCTGTTACGTTTTTATCGGCTGAACACACAGAGGAGAGCCTAAAACAAAGATAAAAAAAATGTATTTGTCACTTGCAGAATATGAATACAATCTGTGGGCTTTACACAGCTAATTAAATATCTTAAGCTTGCCAGTGAAATAGTGATATTGTTGATGGTGCTACTCGAAGCTTGCTTTCAATGAAAACAGGATGGACCGAATGCCCTGCTGCTCCATACTAAGTAGAGGCACTATGTTAGTATGACAAACAAAGCCATACATTACAGACGCTGAGAACTAGTTAATGTCAACAGCTCAACTGTCTAGCCAGGACCGAAACACCTCCTGCTGCATCAGTGTACCAAGGAACGTGGAGAGGGTGCACGGAGGGAAATGCTAGCAGGCGCGTTTGTTGTGCTCAAACTGGCTTATGCTGAAAACATACTTGGGACAAGCATGTTTCTGAATTTTGTTTGTTCTTCCTCAGCTGGATGTGGAATTGAAAAGGTATGGACTGCCTCAGACCAAACTGAGATGGAAGATTCAGCCCAAAAAACAGAAAAACAACAACAACAAAAAAGAACTTTAGAGCATTGGGGGTTCTTAATTTCTTTTCCCAGCCAAACACAAAGTCAGACCAAGGCCGCCCATAAGGAGGGAAAGAGGGGAAAGTTTTCTGGGGCCCAGTTACAGACTGCATACTAAGTAAAGGCAGCAGGATTTAAAAAAAGTGAATAGCAAAAGAGTTTCTAAATCAAGTCAAACTTCCAAAACCATAATGACTCATAAAGAATGCTTACATTTGAATTCAAGACGTTTCCAACATCAAAAGGTTACCTCTTCTCGATACCACATTTTCATATGGAAATAGAAGCCTTAAAGAAACATCTAGATGTTGTGCTTAGTTGGTTGTTATTGTTGTTGGGTGTCTACATTTGGGCTTTGGTCTCTGTGTAGTAACGATGGTGTCTTGTAAGCCTGTTTGGGGCTGGACACATTGTTTATGAATGACACAATAATCAAATCAAATTAGAAGCTTTCCAAAAGTGAACCTGCAGATGTGATTTGTTTCCAGCATTGGGCAATGGCTGGTGATAACCATTAATAACAGAGAAATATGCAGTTTTGTTGTTTTGATTAACAATAAAATCAATCTGGTAGAGTTAAGAATGGACTCTTATTAATAATAGTAGCACAAACTCCCTTGTTTCTTCTTTTGTGGTACTTTCAATATATTTTTGTCCCCTTACCTATTTCCCTGTTGGGTAGGTTTCCTTTATATGATCAGATATAATCCTTATACTGTACTTCCCCTTTCTGTAATTGTTTTAATCCCCATCAATGTTTTAATTCCTTCCTATACTTGTCAAGATGTCAATGAACTACCATTGAAAAATAGTTGTTTTGAGAGTGATATCTACTATTAGCTTAAAGTAACTGCAAGCTCGTGTATTTATATATATTTAGGGTTTCTGGGCCTTTCTTGAACAGGACAGATGAAGAGAAACAGAAAATGTTTTGACGAGAGAGTACGGTATGATATGCAGTAACGGGCTGATGCCAGATTCAAACCCATGGCCTCTGCAATGAGGACTACACCCTCTGCACGTGGGGCCGGCTTCATAACCGCCAGGCTATTGGCACTCAAGCTAGGTACTTTGCAATGTATAATTACTTTTGGTGTAGGATCTGGTGGTGGCAATATAATTAACATGGATTTCATGTTTTTATTTTATTATTAGATTTGCATAGCTGAATGTATAGTTTAATTTGTCAAACCCCGCCCTCCTTAGTTACTTTTACTATAAAGACTAAATTCCGTTATTGATGTTTTGCTGCAGTTTGTGCTGTTGTTTGATTTCCCTTGTAGGAAGGATTTGGAGCAATCAGTAAAATAAGATAATGGTTTTGTTTGCTATATATATTTATCGTGTTACCTTTCTGTATATATATTCAGTTAATGTTTTGCCACAGTTGAACTTGTGTAAAAATAAAGTATGTTGTTGTTTTGATGTGTGTCAAAGAAAATAAACAATGGTTATTGGTGAAGACAATCACTTGTGACAGTGTCTTTCCCTTCCAATCAACACAACACTTAAGTCCACATTACACGATTTTATGCTGCTATCTCA